TAAAAATTTTTGAAGATTAGGGAAAAAAATGCAAAAAAAATTTAAGGGGGTATGGAGAGATGGCTCAATGGTAGAGAGCACTGACTGCTCTTTGCTTTTGCAGAGGACCTGGGTTCAATTCCCAGCACCCACATGGTGACTAAAAACAGTCCGTAACTCCAGTTTCAGGGGATCTGATGCCCTCCTCTGACCTCCGTGGGCACTGTACAACATGGGTACACTTGCATACACACAGGCAATATACTCATACACAGGAAATAAAAATCATTCATATAGTCAAACAATATTTAATCTATACTTTCAAAGTATAATTCTATGCTATATTTTTTTGGGGGGAGGGGGTTGGGGATTTCTCTCAATTAACTGCAAAGAATTAACAAAACAGCCCAAGAATTTACGCTTCAGATATTTTCACACTTCCTTTCTTCCTTCCTTATACTGTGTAGCATTTTCAAATTACAAACTCAAGTTTTTGTTTTCAGTCTTTCTTTCTTTTTGACATGGTGGCCCTATGAAGCCCAGTGTGGCCTCAAACTTGAGCCTCTTGCCATGGTGTCTAGAATACTAGGATTACAGACATGCACCATAAACTCTTATAAAGCACAAAATATGTGCCAGGCAAAATGTTTGTTGAGTAATGGATGACTTCTTAAATTTCATCATTCTTTTCATTTATGCATAGATCCTTAACCTCTCTTAAGAGGCTCCTAAGCAGCCAGGCATCTCACAACCATATTAACACAGGCAAAGGCACCTTTTAGCAGAGACCTTCATAAAACAGACCCACATGGGGAAAAAATCGACCCTGAGTCCTTGTTACAAGAGGATGGAGGGAGGGAGGAGCGCCCTCTCCTGCTGCTTTCTCCTACACCAGAGCAAAGTAAAACCAAAATCCAGAAAGCATGGGGAAGTAATTAATACCATTGAGAAGCAAAGTAAAATCTTGGCATCATAATGTCCCCTACCTTGTGTGTATGTGCATGCATGTGTATGTGCACGTACACATGTATGTGTGTGTGTACATGCATGTAGAGGCCAGAGCTCATAGTTGGATATCTTTGTTAATCATTCTCCACTTTATTATTTGAGACTGGGCCTTTCCCTGAACCCAGAACTCAGCAACTGAACTCAGCAATTCAGCTAGGCTGGCTGCCTAGTGAGCCCCAGGAGTCCTCCTGTCACCACCTCCCCGGTGCTGGATCGTAAGCCTGCATTGCTGGGCCCAGCTTTCTCTTCTCTGTGTTTGCTGGGATCAGATCTTGGGTCCTCATGCTTGTGTGTCATTTTACTGATTCCTAACCATCTCTTTACCCCTCAATTTTTAGAAATGTATTTAGTGACTAAAAAAATATCTCCAGAGACCTACAACAAAAAGAACTATTCCATTTGCTTTTTTCTCTCTTTTCAAGTCAATAATTTCAGCAATGTCTCCAAACTTTAGGATTTTATGGAAATTTTATTCTACTTCCAAAAACAAAGTCAGTATGTTAACAAAATATGTACTTAATTAGCTCTGGACTTTATTTTGTTCAAGGGTTCATTAGTAAAAGTATCTAAGGTTGATGTCACAAGAACAAATTACAGTGAACCCAAGTGTAGTACCAGGCACAGTCTTAATGAGTATCATCATGTTTGACACTTCTATTAAGTACTGTTTAAAACCCATTTTAAAGATGAGAAAATAAAGAGGAGCTCAGATCTGTCCTAGACAAACAGCTGAAAGTAACAAACTATGATTTAAACGAGGGAACATTAAGTTTTGAGCCTTAACTAAGCCACTCTGCAATTGCATATTTTCACTCTTAAATCTACCTGCAATATTTCATAGAGGTAGTTTTTAATTATACTATTGATAATGATCAATGTATAATTTGTTCCCCAAACAAGCACCAACTACAGGATACTTAGGATTTAAAAATCAATTTAGAGGCTGGAGAGATGGCTCAGTGATTAAGAGCACTGGCTGCTGTTGCAGAGGATCCAGGTTTGGTTCCCAGTACCCACATGGTGGCTAACAACTATCCATAACCCTGTTCAAGGGGATCCTATACCCTCTTCTAACTTCCATGGGCATCACACAACACAGGCACACTTACATGCATGCAGACAATACACTCATACACATAAAATAAAACCAATTCAGTGATATGGGCATACAAATATCAGGCTCTAGTTAATAAACCTAAAGTCTACAAAGGAAACATTACACAAAGTTTCATAGCAAAAGATAAAGTGGTAGGGGTTGGAGAGATGGCTCAGCAGTTAAGAGGACTGGCTGTTCTTTGCAAAGAACCCAGGTTTGGTTCTTATCACTCATGTGGTGGCTAACAACCATCTGTAACTCCAATTCCAGGGGATCCAATGCCTTCTTCTGTTCTCTGCAGGCACTGCATGCATGGGTGCACTTACATACATGTAGGCAATACACTCATATACATAAAATAAAAATAAGTAATTTTAAAAATGTCTTTAAAAAGAGAGCTAAGGTAGTAATTATTAAAATTATTAGCATTCCTGAGTCTTAAGTTTTCCTTCCTTCCATCCTCCTTCCTTCCTTCTTTCTAGTGATGGGGAACAAACCCAGGGCCTTGACCATGCTAGGCAAGTACTCTTTTTTTTTTTTAAATCTTTATTATTTTTATTTTATTATTTTATGTGTATACGTCTATTGCCTGCATGTAGGTAAGTGCGCCCATGTTGTGCAATGCCCGAGGAGGTCAGAAGAGGCCGTTGGATCTCCTGGGACTGGAGTTACGGACAGCTGTTAGCTGCCATGTAGGTGCTGGGATTCGAACCCGGGTCTTCTGTAAGAACCACCAGTGTTCTTAACCACTGAGCAATCTTTCCAGCCCCTAGGCAAGTACTCTTATCACTGAGTTACACATATCTAGTTTTCTTGAGTCCTAGATTTTAACTATTATGTCTTAAAATTAAGGGAAATTAAATTTTAAAATTTTTAAGGATTTAATAATGCTATTTCACAATTTGTTTTTCTGGTTAAAGAACTTTTTATACTTGGTAGTTTAAACTTCACAATTAGTATTTGTATCTACAAGTTCATCTACATTTTCTTGAGTTTCCTTTCCTGAGCTTTTTGGTTGTTTTCTCATTTTGGTACTGGGACTTGAATTCATGGCTCATGAGTGCTAAACATGTGCTCTACCACTGTACTTTCTATGCTGCTGGAAAGAGTACTACCCACTCCATTGTTAGTTAGCTGCATTTAGTAGGAGTAAGTCAGATCCTTTTTAGAGAATGGGGACTGAGAGAAAAAGTCAATGTGAGACTTTAAACCCTATCCTCCACCCCTCACCCCACCGGACCCCTGTCCAGGAGGCCTGTGCCTGAGGGACCAGTGTGCCCTGGGAAGTGTAGGATGCTATGCAGCAGAGCCTGCTGCGGGGAGTCCAGATTAAAAGACACAAAGCTTGGGAGGAGGTGTCAACTATGCTTCCAATCACAAAGAACGAGAAGAAGGCAGTGGTCAAAGAAAAACCAGCTGTATGCATAGAGGACAGTGCTTTGCTAAAGGTGGTGGGAAACCTCTGATTAGGTCCCGGTTCTCAGTGTGCAACCCAGCTACATTTCTGTCCTTGGATCTCAGTGTGTCCTGGACCACTCCCAAAAGCCTGATACTTTCCCTTTTTGGTTAAGCTAATTTAAGCTGAGGGATTTGTAACCAGCAGAGAACTAACATGTACCGTCTCTTAAAAAAAAAAAAAAAAAAAAGCTATTGAATGCCAGATAACCCCATGAAAAAATAAGATATTCAAAAATTACAAAGCAAAATGAAAAATATAAATGAAGGCAGCTTCAGAGTCCTGGATTGTTTTCAACTATCTTACAACGGCATTTTTGCTTAAACTGATCACCCACAGCAACTACAATACAATTGCCTAAAGAGTTCTAAGGCCTGTGCTTTAAAGTAACAACAGTTGGTCCCAAACTTACAACAGCTTGAGTTTAGGATGGTACAAAAGCAATATACACTTCCTAGAAAACTTGCTTTCAAGTTTGAACTTTGATTATTCCCCCCAGGGCTAGTGATAGGCAGTTAGTACTGTCTGATGCTGGGCAGAGGCAGAGGTTGAGCCATAGCTCCCAGTCAACCGGATCACATGGGTGAGTGGCTGATGTTCTATAGTGTACTGTGTTGCTAGGCTACAAAGCTCAATAGTTAAGTATGTACAATGCACTTACCATCTGGCATAATTTCAATTTATGATGGGTTAATTCATCAAAACTCAATTTTTTTGCAGGAAAAAGATAAAAAAAGACGGGGTATAAAGATGATTAAGAATCTCTGTATAAAATACACAAAAATCCAATAAAAACAAATTTTAAGAAAAAGAAATGCTTTTAAAACATGATGTTAGTTACAAGTACCAATAATAAAAATAATGATTTAAAACCAGAATTGAAAATGAAGATGATTTATTCCAATATACCTGTTTTAGATGCAGAATATTAAAAGCAATGAGAAGAAAAGTGCTTTCCCTAGTTCACTAAGTTATCAGTGCTTATGCAGGAATGAAACCAAGGCCTTGTGAACCACAGTTCAATAGATTAGATACTACTTGTGGTGGTTTGAATGAGAAATGACCCCATAGGCTCAGGTACTTGAACACTTGGTGGCACTGCTTGGGGAGGTCATAGGAGCTGCATCCTTGCTGGTGGAAGTGCACCCTGGGGAGCAGGTGTTGAGAGGTTAGTGTCCCCCGCTTCCAGTTGGCTCTCTCCACTTTCTGCATGTGGTTGAAATTGTGATGTCTCAGCTTCCTCCTCTGGCCATCGGGCCTGCCTGCTGACATGCCTTCCCCGCCATTATGGACCCTCCCTCTGGAACCATAAGCCAAACTCTTCCTCCGTAAATTGTTTTTTGTAATGGTGTTTCATCACAGCAACAGAAAAGCAATACACTGCTCAACTATGCAGCAAAGACCAACATGATTTTGTCCCTGCCTCCTTTACCAACGGCTTAAAAAAATCCTAAAACTGACCTGATTCTCTGTTCTGGGCTGGCATGAAACTGCAGAGACAGGAATGGCAGGCACTTTCTTCCTGAAGCAGATGTAGAAAAGTATTACACCTGTGAGAAAGGAAAGAAAAGGAAACTCAGTTTACTAGAATATGAGGTGACTCAGCATAATGTGTCAATCATTTTCTGCTGATCTGTCTCGTCACCTGTTGTTTTACTTAACAACCAAACACCTGAGAACCTATCACTGAAGATAAACTTTCCCTCTGACATCCACATGTGTGCCATGTGTATACACACATGCACACACACACACACACACACACACACACACTAAATAAATAAATAAATAAATGCATGCCTTTAATCCCAGAAAGGGGTAGGCGGATCTCTGTGAGTATGAGGCTAGTCTGGTCTACACATGAGTTCCAGTTCTGCAAGGGCTACATGGTGAGATGAGACCCTGTCTCAAACCCCTCAAAAAAGGGGAACTGGATAGTATAGTTAAGAGGTTAAGAGAACTGGCTGCTCTTGCAGAGGACTGGGGTTCATTTTCCATCACCCACATGGCAGCTAACAATTGTCTAACTCCAGTTCCCAGGGACCCAGCACCCTCTTCTGGCCTCAGTGGTCACTGCAGGCACAAGTATATTTATTTACATACATGCAGGCAAAACACTCATACACTTAATTTAAAAAAAAAAAAAAATTTAAAACAAAAAACAAGAAGCTATGCAAAGACTGAGTGACAATACAGTTGTATGTGGCAGAGCCAAACTGAAGTCAGCTACCCCTTCTGGGCTGGTATTCATCTGAGAATCACAAAATTCCCATCTGCTCTCAAAGGTCACACTCTGGTCTCAAGTTATTTAGTACGTTGCATATAGAGTTTTCAAATGTTTCTCTCTTTTACAATTCCATACTTCAACATGAAAATCCTAGGGTAGGAGTATGAAAACCAGGTTCTGGTCTTTCTTAACTCTGCTCTCAACAAGTTCTATGGTCTTAGTCAATTCTTTGGTCCCAAATCTGCTTTAAACTAATTCCTGCAGGCCTTCTCTTCTCACTAAACACCATGCCTATGAACAGCTTTGTCCTTAGCTACATGCTGCTTCAAACCCAGCTACTTGTTTTTGACACATAACTTTGATCTCTTTAATCATATTATAATAGTTCAGACAACATCAGCTAATCACCATTCAAAAACCTATCAGATGATAATCTAGTTTTGATGTGTACTTCATTTCTTAGCTGGTTCTTTTTTTGTTTTTGCTGTTGTTTTTATTTGTATGTTTGTTGAGAAAGGGTCTCCTGCAGCCCAGGCTAGTCTTGAACTCCTAATCCTCCTGCTTCCATTTCCTAAATGCTGGGATTATAGGTATATACCACCATGACCAGCTTGACTGGTTCTTCCTTTATTGGAACCCAGGTAGAAATAGGAATAAAAATATTCTTCAAAAATCTGAGTTGTTTCTTTAAAAATCTTGTGCTGGGCCTGAGAGATAGGTCAGTGGATAGAGGCACCTGCCCCTAAGCCTGATGACCTAAATTCAATCCCCAGAACCCACGTGGTGGAAGGAGAGAACCAACTCCTGCAAGTGACCTCCATATGTATGCCATGGTACACATGC